TTCGAGAATAAAAATTCCCCAAAAAATTCGTTAAGAAATTGAAGAGCCCTGTTTCTTTCTTTCAAGTGTATGAATTTGAGAGTTTGGTGAATTATTTTTCTAGCAAAGATTCAGCAAAAAAAAACAACACATTTTACATAGATATAGGAAGATGTGGTATGAGTGCCAATGAGACAACTCTCCATCCAAGTAACAATTTATAAAAGTAAACCATTGTAGATCAAGGTACGGCCTTCAACACGGAGCATTGGCTCACACCGAACAGCAAGCTATAAAGGGCCCCAAAAATTACTAATGTAAAACCATTCAAACGGGAAAACCAACGGTCTAATCTATATAAAAACGAGAAACGAGAAACACGTATGAACTACATAAACAGACGACAACTACTGTACATCAGATTCCTGACTTAGGACAGGTGCAAACATTTGCAGCGGGATTAAACGTTTTAATGGTACCAAACCTTCACCCTTTTTCTGAAACAATAGTATAACATCACAACATAGAAAGACACACTATAAAATATCATGCCTTGATTTATTCATTTCAGTTATTCTTGTTCATTGGAATTGGTTTCGTCTTACTGTCCGTAACTACACTCGCTTTTAGCTCTTTGCCACAATACAGAAGAACACTAACCGCGTGTGAATGGCATGAGTATGTTTCTGCCGATTATGATATGGACCTCGAAGTGAAAAAATATTTCGGGAAATACGACTGTAATATGCTTAAACTAATTACCAGCGGAAGGAATTTTCATTTCGACATTATTGAAGATGATGACCATAAAGAATATTATCATGAGAATGAGCATTTCAATGAAGAAAATCCTGAAATCTCAACAACTGTCTCAAATTTTACACAAGAAGGAGTACAAGGTGATATTGATACCAAAGAGAGAGGAAGACAGGAAACCACATTGAAAACCACATTGCCAGATGTAACTCTCAAGAACAACATTTTCTATCAGATCGATTATCTTGCAACAACTTTCTTTACAGTAGAATTGTTATTACGGCTTTGGGTTTGCCCAAGTTTAAAGATATATTTTACTAACCTGTTAACTGTTGTTGAATGTATTGTTCTTATTGGTACATATGTTGACATCATTATGTTTAATATGAAAAGTATTTACAAATTTTCCTCTATTCTAACAAATATTATTGATTTTATTAAGTTTTTGAGAGTTATAAGATTGTTGCGGTATTGTCAACACTTAGCTGCTGTACATGTTCTGAAATTTTCAATTCGGAAAAATGCCAAGGACCTTCTTGTATTGTTTTTTCACATTGTAATAATTTTGCTGCTTTTTGCAAATATAATTTTCTTGGTAGAGGAAAGAGACAATATCAATAGCATACCACAGGGATGGTGGCTAGGTCTAGTTACCTTGACAACGGTTGGTTATGGAGACTTGACACCAAAATCCTTTATGGGAAAGATAGCCTGCTCCGTATGCGCTTTGTGTGGAATCATAATGATGTCGTTAATTATTCCAATTTTTGTAGAAACTTTCGTACAGTTATATGGCATCGCTCACATTAGGAATGGGCCCAACAAGAAAGATTGTAAAGCACAGTCTGTGATTTTTACCAAAATTAAGAAGATCCATATAAAAACTGAAAACCCTACTGGAAATATCAAATATTAAGAAACTCTAAACCAGCTCAGAATAACACTGGGTATATTTTATTTCGTTATAACAATTCGAAAAGCTACATCATTCAATTATTCGATTGATACAACTTGGAAGCAGCTGTCCTTGCAAGGAAACACTATTTCTATAGAAATGTCTTTGAATTTGTCAAAAAGCATTTGCGTATACATAAGATATATGTGTGCATAAACTAAATAAACTTTCAACTTGGCTACTAATTGTATAGTGTAAATGAATTATTATGTACTAGTAATAGATTTTTAATGTCAGCAATGATGGACATATCTTAGAAAATGTACTTATCATATATATATGGCAAACGTAAGTCGAAGGTGTAAATGCCTAAAAGGTATTCAAAATATTACTGATATATCGTTAGCATTAAATCAAAGCAAGTATGGAATAATGTCTTTGTTTTACAATACAACTTCAGTTTGTTTTTTTTAATGATATTAGAATATTTTATAATAATAGCTTCATCAGTGTTGTGAATAAATACGTAAATAAGTGAAAATATTATTGTGTAGTATTGGTATTATGAGTAACATAGATATTGATTAGTTCGGCCATTTCTTAATGTAAAGCAAGATATGCTTACCCCAAGCCTTCCAGAGCAAAAAAATGTCTGTTATGGTTTAGATGGAATTTAGTATTGCTTAAATGTCTAGGTTCGATGCGTCTTTTATTTTTTGTCTAAACGTTGTTCTCTTGCTTTAGATTTGTGTTGTTCATGCAATAACTTCTGGATTTTAAATTTGCATAAACATTACGAATATGAGGCAATTCTTTATTCCAATGTCTTCTTAGTACACTTATGTCGTTAATATCAGTTTCGGGTCGTTTCATAATAGATTCCATTTACCATGTTCAAAATGTATATTATAGCTCTTAATTGTTCTTTTTAAATTTAATTAAAGGGGTATTAGCTGTCAAATTCATGTTCACCGATTTGACTCAAATGAATGTTCACCGATTTAACTCAAATTCATGTTTACCGATTTGATTGAAATTCTCATATTTGATTTATAACATACCATAACGTATATCAAAATTACAAAATGTCTAAAATAGAAAATCAATGCATGGACTCAATAATATGTATCAGCATTTTTGTGTATTTTATTTAATCTAGACGCCATTTAATTCACTATCGAGATGACCTCATAGCAAGCACGCGCAATTGGATTGTTTCAGGTCTGTTTGATTACATATTTTAGGTTAAACAAAAAATGTAAATTATCTTTTTTACCTGTATAAGAATGATTTTTGTGGATCGAATCAATCCACTAAATGCTTCACCCTTGTTTCACTTTCATTGTTGACATTCTTTTCCTTTTAAAATAGCTGAACACACCAAGTATATGCGTAACCCATCTCTAGCTAAGGGGTTAATGTGTAGTTCACATGAATACGTATCCAATGAGGATAAATTATTGACTTGCAAGTCAATAAAACGTCAGCGATGTTTTTGAGCTTATTTTGACAAATTTGGGCCAAACTAACTGCTAATAACGAATTATTATTTCAAAATTCCGCTTTTATTAACACTTGAAACAAAACGAATCATCTTTTAAATTTTTGTCTAAATCGTAGCTAATGTCCCTTTAAGTTATTTATAGACTAGTCATATATTGGCTTATTGATAAAAAATGAAGACCAAAATTATTATTGACATTATTTTCAATAGTGAATTTATCCAATAGAATTCATTAATTCAAGAATTAGCTTTGATCTTATTTAGAACATGGATGTTACGGCTATAATTATATATATATGATAAAGTTACTTTAAAACAGTGCAAGTTTTTATTTATATTAATTCTTCGAAAACCTTTGTGTTTAGAAAATTGTTACTACATATATATTTTGCAAAAGTTAAACCAACAATCGTTTGAGCATTAGCACCTTTATCAAACTTAATCATAAAATAAGGTCTCGAAAATGTCGATCTGTTTTCTAACTATATCATTTAGTGCATTTATAAATTAAATAAATATCACGGGCACGTAACAAAATTGATAAAAACACATGTATATGTGTTATACAATATATTTGCTTGAAATAAGACTTCTCATGTTTATGTCAAAACCCATCTCCCAAAAAGGCAATCTCCAAAACAAACGAATCGAAAAAAAAAACAAAAAACAAAACAAACCAGATGTGTATTAAGAGGATCCTGGATTGTACTAGATGATTACTAACAAAGGCACAAAAAATGTTCTTTTTTGTTTTTCTTTATAAAGATATACAGAAATATAATCAAACTTGTCTGAATCAAAAAGAAAAGAGGTAGGGTCAATTTCCTATGAATCTCTCTCTGTATATTCTTTTCTTGAAAAGCACTTAAAAAAGTATACTTAAATAAAAGAAAATGGTGACTCAATAGCAGATGAAGAAAAACTACCATGTCTACAATTATTGAATATCCGAAACGATAACATGCTTTTCAGCTTTGTTTTTGATTTGGCCTTCCAACTATTTTGATTTGAGCAACACTAAATGAGTTGAATGTAGAAGAAACGCGCATCAGGCGTGACAAATTTTAAGAATTTAAGAGTTTACAGCCCCTCTTATCTCCCTTTCATTTCAGGTGGCTTCTTAAAAATTAATGCATTGGTTTTGTTCAAAAAAATTTTATTGCATTATAACTCAAAAAACTATTCAACTAATAAATTTTAAGTTAAGTTCAACTTATATTTTATATCATCATTAATGCATTTTGAATAGAAAAAATAAGTGACCAGTAGAAGTTGTACCTTGCTGATCAGCTTTTTTTTTATTGTCGTAAAAGATGCCACTTGCCACTATACATCGGGTACTGTGTTACAATCCTTGATAAAACCGATGAGGACAGGCATTACTCGATTAACAAAAGCTATATTTTGTATACACTAGTTGGTCGAGTGGTCTAGGGCACTGGGCACAGTGCAGGTCTAGTAAAACCATTATCGCTTAAGAGTTAAGATAATATAATTCTATATCAACATGACATGAAATAGGTAGAATTTATTTTCTTAGCATTTTGGGGTCTTGGAAAATAATATCTTCCTTTAACCAATTTCAATAATGAACCTTCGATTTAAATTTTCAGTTTATAGAGCTCCTGATTGTAACCAGTTGACTTTTTTCCATAAAATCCTTAAGTGCCCCTCCAATATCAAATGTAATGTCTCCTTGGTTTCAATTTGTAACTTTGTAATGAAGTATAGACCAATTGGCATTGTTTTAAAATGTTTAAACCGGTGATATAGATATTCAATATTAAATATTGATGGGATCTATGTATGGTATTCTAACTACCTATTATATTAAGTATAAATAGATAACGAGGTAGTGATTTTTTTTTATTGTGATGGTTGACTATCTTCATGACACAGTCATGTATAAACTTTATCAATCAGAGAAATGATGTCTCCGTCGAGAGTAAGGCTAAATATACCAGGGACTAAATTCCAAATAACTCGAAAACTTCTTGAAGCGCATCCTCATACAACGTTGGGGAAACTAATTACTGATGCAGATGTTTCAAAATCTGAGGAATTTTATTTTGATAGACCTGCAACACCTTTTGAATCTATATTGACATTTTACCAAACAGGAAGGCTTCATCTACCACAAAACATATGTCCAAATGTTTTCAAAGGAGAGCTGGAATATTGGAAGATAGACTATAAACAACTAGACAGATGCTGTTTGTTTAACTACATACAATTTCTGGACAGTAACAAAACTAAATTAGACTTCCAGAACGCAATTGAACCAGAAATAGCATGTTTATCCTGTCCTCTATCTACTAGAAATCGTATTTGGGGGATACTAGATTACAAAGATAAATCATGGATAGCAAAGGTATTTATTTATACATATTATATATATAGATAGATATGAATAGAAGGAGATTAATATACGCCAATGAAACAGCAACTGTACACACATATAAACACGAAAAGCAATATGTCATGCTCTTAAATCGCCTAGGCTCGTTCAGAAAAATAAGAAGGAAAAATGAGAAAACTTGAACTGCCATCATCATAAAAAAACAATAATTAAGATATAACTAAATACAACCTCATGCATATTCCTAACTAGGGACAGTCATATGACCTTTTTGCGGGGTTATTACAATATTATAATTTTCGACTTCTACCTTTAATATCTATTAGTGGAATACTATTACACCGACGTTCGTAAGAATGCAATTATAAATTTCTACATTCAAGACCGTGTGGTACACAGAGAGTCGAACAGTAAATAATAATTTCAATATCACATCTCAGCTTAAGGCGTCCTCTGAATATGTGAAGGTTCCTCCTATGCATTGGCTACCTAAAATACTAAATAAAACCTCAAAAATTATGTTTCTTTTCGGCTTCTATTGTTCTGCGATTAATCTTTCTGTGCTGTTCCCTTACTTATATTTGGTTATTAATTTTTTAATTAAGCATATGAAAAGAATGGAATTAATCATTTCTGGAGTGTCAAAAACTCTTTGAATTTCTTATATAAATAACGTGTTTTTGATGGTCCGTTCATTCGGATGACAGTTATGACTTTTCGACTCTTTACACTACACTTCCACAGAAGTTTGACAAACAGAAGTTTGACAAACAGAAGTTCTTTTATGCAATAAATGGGCCTTGGAAAAATCTTATTGCAGATTTATTTGTTGCAACTCATATAAAGTCTTCTTTTGTAACGAAAACGGGAAATATGCTGGATATGCAAGAATTTAAGTTTTTTCGCTCCCTATTGTTATTAATTTTTCTTTTTGGACGTTGATGTTACTTTTACCACTTATTACGGTGTGTATATTTCACAGCTTGTTCACAATGCACGTGTATAAAGTATTTAGTCGCGTTTTACATTTCAATGAACGTTATTTATGGTTAACTGGTAAAATATTAAATCAGGGATTTCGTTAGAAACAAAGATTTGGTTATAAATTTTGACTGTATCTGTAGAATTCTTATTAAAAACCGGATATCACATCCCATTTTTTACGGTGATGTTATCTATAGAGCCCTTAAATTTAGATACGATCCATGTAAACTCATTGTTTCTTTGAATGAACTTGTGTTTAAGATTATCAATTTAACACCCGGCGTAGTGAAAACTTTAAATGTTGTTTCATCGGTACTTACATAGATGTTGTTCTTGAAAAAAAATAAAAAAATAAAACTAAACTTATATTGCTATACACATGTATATGTACGTTATGTGTACTCATTATACTACACCCTGTCAGTACTGTTTACTATATTTTGTCATTACATGAAGTCATGCGTTTGTCAGACTGTTTATGACGTTCGAAGTTTACATTAAATCCGTTGGATGTTTTGATACTTTATTTTTTATGTAATATTTATTTTTTGTATCATATATTATGTTTTACTTATTTGTTTCTATGTCGTGTTTTATAGACTTGGTTGTCTTTTGGTCGTTTTTCGTTTTTTGTCATGACATTGCCAGTTTGTTTTCGACCACTTGAGTTTGGATATCCTTCCGGTATCTTCCTCCTCTCTTTTTGTCTTGGAGAACATGATTTATTTATTACTTGTAATTGGCTTTGAGCTAGCTTTCATTTACTGCGAGTATTCTTTTATCGGTGCTTTGTGTCTATTTTTTTTTATGTAAGTCGTGCCTCTTACCGATCTATTGATTTAAGCAATTTTTTACTGAGTTTTACAGTTTGTTTTCATGAAGTGCTGTTACACAACTGTCCCAGGAAAGGAGGATAGTTGAGCGGTCTCACACATGTTTAACCCTGCGACACTCTTTATGTGCCTGTCCTGCTGTAATTCAGTGGTTGTCGTTGGTTCGTGTCTGACATATTTGTTTTCCTAATTTGAATTGTTTTAAATCAGGCCGTTAGATTTCTCGTTTGAATTGTTTCATTTTTTGTAGGGCCCTTTTATAGCTAAATGTACGAATGAACGAACATTGAAAAAGAGTAATAAAATATCAACTTCATTCTATATAACTGATATCAAAGAAAATCAACAATACATGCACTTACCTGCTGATATATTTACGTAATTTGCGGTATGCATACCTTAGACTGGAAATTGTGGATTTCTTGTACAAAATTAATATTTTCTGTAGATTTATCACGACACTACTATTAATTTTCATGGCAGAGAAAAGATTTGTATGGTTTTGCTTCAATTTATCGTTTTACTTTGTACCGATAAATTTTCCACCTTTAAAAAACTAAAAAAAATTGCACGGTATATAGTGCAAACTGCTATAAAAATATCTCGATTCTTTATTGTTATTTCATGAGCGCTATAAATACTAAAATCTTTTTACTTTAGGTTTTGTCCTATTTTAATTGTGGCAGGTGCGCTCGACTCCAATCTTAATTGACTAGGATTGTCAGTTTTCCTAACGAAGGTCGGTGGTTCTTTCTGGGCACTCAGGCTTCCTCATCCAATAAAAACTGACCGCTACGAAATAGCACAATAGTGGCGTTAAACACCAATCAATCATGTATGTTTTCGCAGTATATACACGCGAACATGTTTTTACCAATAAACTAGCAAAACATTGGATACCTTTAGAATAGATATTTTGTTTAAAGTATTATATTTATAGTGTTGGTACAGTAACTTTGTGTTTCATTTTTCTTGCCACGGTGTTGTCGACTTCTCTTCGACTTATGCATTTTGGTTGTTTCTTTGGTATATTCCGCCTCCTGCCTCCGTTAAAAATGCACACCAGGTTTACTCAGAAAGCAATTTTATGGTATCAACATAATTTTGCATTCTGTTTCGGTAAAACGCGATCATTTCGAAAAATGAAATGCATACGAGGCAATTTGACAGTTTGTGCAGTAACTCCTACAATGCAACTGGTTAGTGCATAGGGAAACAAAAGTTTGAAATAAATTAGAATGTTTTATTATTAAATATCTGAAAAGCTAAGCTTCTGTCATTATCCAATAAACGTCCAGTGATAAGAAAATGCTGAAGTGACAAACAGATGCAATGATAATATACAAATAAATGAATATGAATCTGATTTGTTTTAAAGTCGAAAGAACATTGACGTTATATTAATATTGTTGGTTGTCTTTAGATTATTCAATCTCCAATTCTATAAATGTTGTCAAAGAAGATTTTTTATCAATTTTGAAGATTTTGACTTTGAGTAAATATGTCTTATCAAAATACATGCCTTATTAGTTGTCATCTCTTTCCATTTCAGCTAGTTTTGCTCAACGGTATTTTGTTCGTTTTGCTGTCCTTGTTAACACTTGCGCTCAGTTCGTTGCCAAGATACCGTCGCCCACTTACTACCTGTGAATACTACGAATACAGCTTATCGAAAGATAAAACAAACCCAGCGATACTTAACTTTTTAGAGCAGCACGACTGTAACAAATTGCAGGTATCTGAATCTGGAGACGAATTTTATTATTACTACTACGACTATAATTATTACTATTATGATCAGGATGACAATACTACTGAACTTCCATCATTACCAACATCGTCACAAAATCCGGATAAAACAAAAAAGCAAACAACAATAAAAATTGAGCCTTCAAATGTTTCGCTCAAATTAGACATTTTCTACCAGATAGATTACTCAGCAACTGCCTTCTTCACTTTAGAACTCATATTGAGACTTATGGTTTGTCAAGGTGTTTTTCTATATTATAAAAACGTTTTGAACGTAATCGATACCATTGTTTTACTCGGAACATTTGTCGATATTGTCCTATGGAACTTACAGTCATCATATAAGTTTTCGTCCGAACTTACCAGTTTTATTGATTTTATCAAGTTTCTTAGAGTTTTTCGCCTTTTGAAATATTACCAACATTTCACTTACGTTCAAGTTGTAAAATTTTCAATAAAACGAAACGCTAAAGATCTACTAATAATGTTATTCCATATTGGAGCCTTTCTTTTGATTTTTGCAAACATTATATACCTAACAGAAGATCGAGATAATATAGATAGCATACCACAAGGATGGTGGCTAGGACTTGTCACCTTGACTACGGTGGGTTATGGAGATTTGTCTCCAAAAACATTTCTGGGAAAGATAACCTGTAGTGTGTGTGCACTATGTGGAATTTTCATGATGTCAATGATCATTCCAATTTTTGTTGATACATTTGTAACTTTGTACGGAATAGCTCATGTAGAGATCGCTGAAGAAAAGAAAGACCAAGAACATACCAATGTATTTACTAAAGTGAAGTCGATAACAACACTGAATATGACACAGACTTTTCAGGAAAGAGACAAGACTGTAAAATGAAATTTAACAAATATTTTGTAACAAGAACTTTGAATTCTTAGATATTAGAAATCTTATAATTAATATGCATATTTGTTATGCTTTAACTAAACCTTTGGTTTTTTTTATGGTAAGCTAGTTTCTCAGTTTGCCTTCTGTGTTTTACTTCCTTAAGCCCTTCAAATACAAAAAAGTACTTTCTGTATTTGGAGGGCCTAAGATAGGCAAACAGTTACTGTGCTATCATAAGACCCTCCAGAGATTTTCAACGAATTTTAATTTTGGCCTTTTTTTCATATCTATAATTGTGACCTTTGGCTTTCAATTGCAATTGTCAAAGGACTACTCACATACATGGAAAAGTTTAATTCTAGTTGTCACAGATTTATGTATTGAAACGGTTGTAGTTTCTTTTCTGATTTTAGATAAATAAAGTCAATGTAAAACTGTTTAATGTTACTGTGAGCAATAACTACTCCTGGATCAATATTCACTTAGAACGTTTTAAGTGTCCTCACCACTAAGATGGGACACCCGAAGTTTGAAAAGTACAACAAAAGCTATAAAACCAAGAGGGGAGATAACATTTTTCACTGTGCCATCTTCTAACATGTTACAATGTAGTAGTAGCATTGGCACATCTATAAATGGTGGTTATATGCATTTCAGAACTAAGAGACTGGCAGATCCTGATTATCGACTGATAAAAGACACCTCATGGGCTCTTCTATAGGCAAAATAATAGATTTTTCAGTAATTGTACTATAGTAAATATTAGGTTTTTTCTAATAGTGAGAAAGACGTGTATGTTTAAGTGCATGGAATCGATGATGTTTTCCCAATGCAGAGGTTTCATGCTCAATGATGAATTATTAACCAAGTCAGAGACAATCGAATATAGATATATTTGTATCGATAAATTTGTTTAATATGTGTTAACGCTCCCTGTAGACCCTGAATCATTGAAGCAATTAGAAATTATTTGATCCACATCTTAAACATGCCATTTACAATATTGACAAATACTATCAAAGCTACTGTCAAAAGAACATCTAATAATAACGCACGAACCAGATCAAACATGATATATCAGAGGAACACCTACATGATAGCATAAGGAATAAAAACAAATATAAAAAAAGTATCCAAAGGTTCCTAGTGTTTACTCTCTATATCAAATACTATATGAAGTTTTTCTTTACCGAATTTAAATCAAAATCATAAGCCCAGTTACAGATAAACAAACATAATTGGATAGAAATTATTTCAAATAACCGAGGTCCTTCCTTGTTAGTATTATAATAAATGCATCAGCAATTAAACTATCACAATGAGTCATAAACGTTTACGGGTATTAATCAAATATCAAAAAGAAGTTTATCTACAACTATACACTTTTAGAAGACAGGCAACAACAAAAAAAAAAAAAAAAAAGACTGAGAGAAAGAATTAAGGTGGTACATAACACTACAGGGAGATAACTCTTTAAAAAATCAGCTGAACGTTTTAATCACGTTCTATGGTTAAGGAAAAATAGAGTTTCTCAATGATCCAAATTAGTTTTTGTCAAACTGCTATATATCCAATGAAATTTTCCAAAGTGTGTGTGGTTCAAGCTTTTTGAAATGTTTATATTTTTGTCAAAGGGTCAAAGTAAATATTTTGTCAAAATTTTATGAAAATTAAACGAGCCAAATTAATTTTAGTCAAGGTGTTTGGTACCACCTTAAGACTACGAACGTTGAAATCACTAATGAAAAGTAAGGTGAAACAAATTGATTCGACATTTTTTAATATTGAAATTTTCGAATATTATAAACTGAAGGCTTTCACCATCTGTTGTCTCGAGCTATTACATTTTCACGAGAATTTGTCGAAGAAGAGAGGCGAAGGACACAAAAGGGATATTGGGATGTGTAAGTACCCTGCCACGTCCACTCTGTGTTTTTATTAGAGGTATTTCTGCTTTGTATCGATCTGATGAGTTAAGCCCTTTTCAAATGATTTTTATAGTTTGTTCTTATGTTGTACTGTTACACCACTGTTTAGTTTAATTTAGTCATGACAGTCATGTTTCCTGACGGATAAGAATATAAAACACCAACCTAATACAAAATACCTCAAGGATCATTCAGCTCAAGTTTGATTGAAATTGGTCGAAAGGTTTCAGAGAAAAAAATATTTGAAAAATAAATTACGACGGACGACGACGAACGCCAAGTGATGAAAAAAGCATATATGGCTTTTAATGCGAGGTGAGACGAAAAGGAAATGAATAATAAAAAGGTATGTTCAACTTGTCGTGTCGACGTTTACATACAACAACTCCGTCAGCTTTTTCACAATTGTGACATTACCGAAAGCGACATGTTTCGAATTTATATAATACATGTATATACCTATATTAAAAACAACAACTTGCTAATTAATAATCTTTAGATATTATTTATGAGAAGTTCTTTTTGTAGGAGAGTATTCAGGCAGTAGTAAAGATAACTTTTTAAAAACATGGTATACATATAATATATCAAGCTGTTTTATGAGGGTTTGAGTGGGGTTTACAGATTTTGATAACTAATGAAAACACATCAGCAGGAGAAATAATACGTAGTAGCCAGAATAGTGCATTTCGTATTGTCAGGGAATCGAACATGACAACGGAAAATCTTATTTCTACAAAAGGAATGTAAATGTTGCACAACTTGGTCTAACTCATGTACAACTATCCAACCGAAATATGAAAAATGATGACATGACACTACAGAATAAACGTGTTCCACGATTAACTGATGAAGAAATGGAACATAAACATGTTCCACGATTAATTGGTAAAGAAATGGAACATAGACATTTTCCACGATTAACTGGTAAAGAAATGGAACATAGACATTTTCCACGATTAACTGGTAAAGAAATGGAACATAGACATTTTCCACGATTATCTGGTAAAGAAATGGAACAGATAAAACATGTATTTGGAAATTCACCTATTATAGTAACGTTGATATTCTTTTGGAATGAAAAGTCTGGCTGTAGATACTGGAAAAGTATCCTACATTTTATACAAGGATTGAAATATAAACATGTATATCAGTCTAATCTTCTATCTCATCTTGTACGATTAAAAAATAGTGAAATAACAGAGATGATGTTTGATCTTTCTTGGACAAAAGCAGTATTTGTGAGAGAACCGAGAGAGCGAATGTTGTCATGTTACCTAGATAAAGGATTAAACAAGACTTTTATGATGCGTTTCTATTTCGTTTCGCACCCCGAAATCATTTTTAGATTTTTTAAATCTAATAAAACAATGTAAAAAATCCCACTGGGTGCCTCAAGTAAAGTACCAAGGTTATTATAGAAGAATATGTTGATTGATAAATGTCAGACATTTTTACTTTTACTGAACCGCTTCTTACACAAAATGGACCTTGGAATGAAACTGTTAAAGTTTGGATGAATTCCGAAAAGATTGAAAAGAGAACAAGGCAAAATGCGACAAACGCTAAAGATAAATTGTTTCAATATTACTGCAATGATACCAAAATTCAAGATATGATTTTTGAAATGTATACGGTGTGCGTTTTTCTCATTGTTGAAGGCCGTACGGTTGCCTTTAATTGCTTACATCCACTTCATTATAATTTGGTGGATAGTTTTCTCGTTGGCATTCATACCACATCTCCGTATTTCTATATTGTATGCAAATTTTTGTAAAAAACACGAGGGACCAAAACTGTATCGTATGCCCTTAAGTAACAATTCATCAAGTTCTGCTGACTTCAAAAACTATAAAAGTGAAGTCTGTAGTTCAGTGGTTGTCGTTGGTTCATGTCTGTCATATTTGTTATCGTAAATTGTTTTGTTACAAATTAGGCCGTTAGTTTTCTCAATTGAATTATTTCATATGTTTCATGTCGGGGCCTTTTATGGCCGACTACATGTATATGGTATGTGTTTTTCTATTTGTTGAAGGCCGTACAAGTTGCCTATAATTGCTTACATCCACTTCATTTGAACTTTTGTGGATGGTTGTCTCATTGGCAATCATACCACATATCCTCCTTTTTTTTGTATTAATAAGTATACATCCTTATTCGTCATTTGTCCCATATAAAGAACGCATCAATGTAAAACTAGTGTTACTTATGGAACAATACTAAATCAACACATAGGATGGAAAATCTTTATTCACGTCATATTTAATTCCGAGACTGTGTGAAAATGAAGGGGGTGAGGCGTATGTGAAAAAAAAAATGTCACATAAAAGTACTACATTAAAAACAATGCCAATGAATTAAAGGAACACCTGTTCTAAATCCTGTCAAATGCTTGAATGACAAGCGCTGACCACACGTTTCAAGATCACTACAAGACAGTTACTAACGTCATTTCTTCAGCAAGACTCTGATATTCGCCGAAACATATGGAAGGATAAGTCCGAGTTAGCCAGTACCGGAAACAGGCCGTTGAACGTCAGAGCAATCTTGGACTAGGAAAGAGTTATCAATAAATCGCTAAAAACCTGAATTTTCAAACTAATTTCACCATGATTTATTGCATGATTCATCACATAAAATCAAATTATATCTAATAATCATAATAAGCAAACAGAAAATCAAATTATATCTAATAATCATAATAAGCAAACAGAAAATCACATAAACTTGATAAAAAATGAGCAACAATGGCTAATGAAAACGCAACTAAAAAATACACATAAGTTTCAAATAAAACACGACGGAAAAATTAAACAATGAAAACTTATCTTATTAACAAACATTCAATAATCATTAACTAACAACGAGTTAACACAAACGTTTCGTTAAATCTTCACATCCCCTGGGTAGGCGTTGTTTTATCAAAACCAAATAGTCTTTTTATTCTTAAGAGTATTATTACATTTTTTAAGACATAGTAATAACACATTTTGTGTGTGTGTGATATAATACAATTATCTACGTACACTTTTTTTTTTCTCAGTTTTTTTTTTATATCTCACAGTAAATTTGCTATAGGCATAAGTGTCAAATTAAATGACTTCTTTGACATATCAGGAGTTGAAGTTCCCCATTTGGTTTTATTCGGGTTGTCTCGGTCTTGCAGCATACTACATGTATGAAGTCGCTTAGTTTCTTCATGTTAAAATTCGTCTTCGCATTAAGTAATAAAAAGTTTCTACTAGTCAAACTTACATAGCTTAAGCATGCAAAATTGTTTAAGATCAATTAAAAAAAATCAAGTCACACAAAAGAGATAAAAACATTAGTATATTCCTTTTTCTGCCCATAATAGATGATATTAACGTATGTGTGATACCGATCTTTTTGTGCGCAACTAATGCTCCGAATGACCTTAATGTGAAGCAATGATGGATAATCTATACCAGAAATGACTAAAATAATACAAATCAAATACTTCAATCGAAAAACAAACATTACGA